TCAACCCAGGCATCCAGATACTTTCACATATACTATCAATTCAGGTCTTTTCCATTATGTACTTGTATCTTACATGTTACAGACTCAGGTGCAAAACTTTTTATTTTTCCTGATATGTTTCATCCTACTCGTTTCAGCTCACTATTGAAATCTCTTTAGCTCTTCTTTGATCTTTGCTCTTTCACCAGAAAAATTAGCTGTTCCTCCCAGCTTTGAATCATCTACAAAAGTGTCTCATCAATTCACTCTACTAAGACATTAGTTAAAAAAAAACTGTTGACCAGCACAGGACCAGAACAGAACTTAATGGCAGTTTACTTCCTTACAGAAGTAAAGTTATTAATAAGCAGTCTTTAATGACATCTTGTGAACTGTAAATCCAGGTAATAATAAAATAATCTAATCTACTTACTATTTTATCAAAGAGAATATCATGAAAGCTTTGTTGAGTACTTTGATATACTAGTTTCTCCTAGGTCCCTACCCCCTAATTCCCTGCTGTCCTCAAGTAGTAATAAAGAAGGTAAGATTAGAGTAGCAGGATTTGTGTGCAACAAGCTCAGACTGATTCCAGTTAATTGAAGAACACTATTGCAGTGTACACAAATACACTACTTGATTATTTATAAAATAGATGTCAAGCTGATAGGTGTGGTTTCCTGGTTCATGCTCCTTTTTGAAGGTCAAGGTGACATTTGTTCTTTTCTAATCTTCTGGAACTTCATTAGTTTTCCAGACATTCTCAAAGACTTATGCAATTGTCTTCACTAGTACATTTAGTACACAGTGATGTAATCTATCTGGCCATATATTACCGTGTTTTCCCGAAAATAAGACTGGATCTTATATTAATTTTTGTTCCAAAAGACGCATTAGGGCTTATTTTCCAGTTAGGGTTTGTATTCGGGGAAATACGGTACTAAATGCATCTGTCTGGCTGATGATCTTAACTGGGGCTTATTTTGGGGGTGGGGCTTATATTACGAGCGTCCTGAAAAATCATGCAAGGGCTTATTTTCCGGTTGGGTCTTATTTTTGGAGAAACATAGTAGCAGATAATAATTTATATGACTCAGAACAAATAGATTGTATGTAATATGGCAATTTGTGTTTGTAAAGTTTGTATATATGGGCATTTACAGTATTTTAAAATCATTTACAGGTAGTCCTCAAGTTAAAACACTTCATTAGTGACTGTTCGAAGTTAGAACAACACTGAAAAAGGTGACTTATTACTGTTTTTCACATTTACGACCATTACAGCATCCCCATGATCATGTGATCAAAATTCAGATATTGGCAACTGACCCATACTTATGATGGTTGCAATTTCCTGGATTCATATTTGCGACTTTCTGACAAGCAAAATCAATGGAGAAGCCAGATTCGCTTAACAAGCGTGTTACCAACAACAACTGCAGTGATTCACTTAACAAATGTGGCAAGAAAGGTTATAAAATGGGACAAAATTAACTTAACAACTGTCTCACTTAGCAACAGATTTTTATGGACATTTGCTGATACCTGGATTGAAAAAATGATATTATGGATTTGCTTATAGACAAGGGATGGGATGTAAGATGAAAAGATACTTGTTTAACCTTATAGGGAATAAAGAATTATTAAATTGTTGGTACTTGATGGGATGGTAGGGAGTCACTTCTTTATATATTTCTCTTTCTTTTTGATATGCTTTGTTTTCTCTTATTTCTTTCTTTTTTTCTGAAACTTTTATTCTTTTTTTCAATTCTATTTTTTTCAGTTTAGTTATATTATTTTATACTATTGTAATTAAAATTTTGAATAAAAAATATTAAAAACATTGCAAAATTTATCTTGGCATCCATAGATTCAGCCCATGAAGTCAAGATTACAATGAATTTCAGTGATTTTGTTAACAATATGGTGCTTAGTGGAAATGCACTAAGTAGATAGGAAAAATGATGAAGGTAATGTGTCGCTACTATTCCCATCTATATTAGGAAATGGTCTGGCAATGACAAAGGATTCGATATAAAGTCTTCCATATTAGATTGCTCTTCAATTTCTTTCAAGTAAAGGAAAGGATAAGTGTGTGTCCATCTGAGAGTGTGTCTGGATATTTGGACAAGCCCACAGTTGTCATAGAAACACATAAGATCTTGAAATCTGGTCCTAAGACCTAGAAATAGAAGCCTCTAAGCACAAGTATATGAAGTAATCACAAACCAGACCAGAGAATTGGTCTAGGACAGGGGTGTCAAACTCGATTTCATTGAGGGCCAGATCAGTATTGTGGTTGCCCTTGGGGGGCTGGGTGGGTGGTGCTCGGTGGGCACAGCCAACTGATGGGCGCAGCTTGGGTGGGCATGCTGGGTAGTCATGAGTGGGCATGGTCAGCTCAATGTTGCTCGTGCCTGTGGGGACACAGGTGGGGCTGGAGGGTCCAGGGGCCTAGCGTGGAAGGGGGGCAGGTCCAGGGTGGGCACCTGGGTCTGATCCACCAAAGGATCCTTGCTGACCCTCTCAGGCCACTGGGGGGCTCCTGGACGGCAGCCTGAGTTACTTGGGGTCTGGGTGGTAGGCACCCAGTCTGACCCTTGAGGTCCCAGGGCACTTACTAGAGGACGAGGTTGGATGGTGGGGGCCAAGTGTGCAGGGGCCACAACATGGTGCCACCCCCGCCCTGCCATCTGCCTTCCCTCACCCAGATGACCCCACTCTGGGGCTCCGCAGCCCGTTGCAAGCATCGGACCGGCCCTCCAAGCAGCAGGCACAGTGGTGGCACCAGCAGCAGGCGAAGGCAAGAGGCGTAGCCATGTAAAAACAGAAGGTGGGACGGAGCAGATGCATCCGGCGGGCTGGATCACATGCCTCCTATCCCCCTGCACCTCTGCCTCCATCTGTTGCCGGTGCCACCGCCGCACCTGCTGCTTGGAGGTCTGGCCTGGTAATCACAGTGGGCTACAGAGCCTCACAGCAGTGCTGCCGGACACTGAGGAGTGCCGGGCTGGGGAGGGCCAGGGCGGCAGGGGTTGGTCTGTTGCTGTCTTCAGGGCAGCCCCGCAGGCCAAATCTGGGCCCATCACAGGCCGGATCCTACTCACGGCCTTGTGTTTGACATGTCTAGTAGCGTCAGGAGAGATTCATCCAGGAATCAAGTAGGATACCCAACTTAATTCTTGTTGCTCAACTTAACGCAAAAGCATTCATAGTCTGCAGGTCCTGATGCAGAGATCCTAATCACAGGCACACTATTTCTCACCACACATTGTCTCATATAGTCATAACTATTTTCCTGTGTTTTCATGAAGTTGAAACCATTGAAAAACCTGATGCCTTGAATCATCATAAATGCTGCATTCCTCATCTAGCCTTATTTCATTAATCTATGCCAGGTCCACTTGTGGAAGAATGTGATCTTAATTGCAACATCAGAACAACAAAAAATATCTCATTCTCCTGTTGGAAGATAATCATCATTAATAATTTTTCTGCTTGTTCAAGAGAATAGACTGTTCTTATTTCTTCCCATATCTTGGAGCATTGGTACTGCCAACAAATCAAATGTTATTTCTTAAGATAGAGAGCCAACATTTGAACTGCGGTCTTTAGGGTTGATTAATCAAGTAAATAAGGCTTGCTATACGAAAGGAATTTAATGTTAATGAAAACAATACAATTCCTCTCATCTGTTCTTTCAATTAAGTGGGAACCCAATTAATCTCAATTAAAGATACTAATAAAGACCTAGTTGAAACTCATATAATGTTGTAGTTGAAATAAAGTTAAAAATGCAAAGAAGAATGCAAAATAAAATTGGAAAATCCCCATTTCTATTTTTAATTAGATAACAATGATTATTATTTAGTTAGTTAGTTAGTTAGTTAGCTAGCTAGCTAGCTAGCTAGCTAGTAAGTATCCTACCTTTTTTACGCTGCTGGATGCATACATTTTAAGAAATGTTCCTTTTACAAAGTACATAATACCAAACTAGATTCTCTTTCAAGTTTTTTTCTGACAAATGGATTCTAATGTTAATTCATTATCCTTTTTATATAATATGTTTTCATACTATCAGTAGAAGATTTTACTTTCCAGCATCTGTTTTGTGAAAAATATTTATTCCCTTTCAGACTTTATGAATTTTTGCATATTATTAACACTGAATATTGTCAAAAATTCATGCAAGTCACACTGATGATGAGCCTAAGTGAAGAAATAAATGTGGTGTTTTGTTTCAGTTATTTCATAACAAAGTCATCATGATCATGAAATATATTATGGATTAAACATTACAGGTAGTCCTCAACTTACAACAGTTCATTTAGTGACCAAAGTTACAACAGCAGTGAAAAACGTGACCTACGACCATTTTTCACACTTAACGACCATTGCAACATTCCCATGGTCACATCAAAATTCAGATATTTGAAACTGATTCATATTTATGATGGTTATGATGTCCCAGGGGTCATATGACTCCCTTTTGCAACCTTCTGACAAGCAAAGTCAATGAAGCTGGGTTCACTTAACAACCATGTTACTAACTGAATAACTGCAGTGATTCATTTAACAATTGTGGCAATAAAGATCATAACATGGGGCAAAACTCACTTAGCAAATGTTTCATTTAGCAACAGAAATATTGGGCTCAATCATGGTCATAGGTCGAGGACTACCTGTATTATGGGTAGACAAATATGTATTCATCATTTAATTTTCAGCTACACTTTAGTGCAGCCTTCCAAACCAGGGTGACTTCCAGTTATGTGGACTTCTGTTCCCAGAAAATTTAAGCTGGCTGAGAATTCTGGAAATTGAAATCTCTCATCAGGAACTTCTTAATAAATAATAGACTATTGCCAGGAGTGAGTAATTAATCAGAATTACCATAATGATTTCAGTGATAAAAGTAATATTTGTTTTTTAAGATTTATATCATAATATAATATTTATATTATAAACATTATATAATATGTTTACATTTATAATTGTTTTCAAACACATGCAACGTATAGGATAAGGATTTTATTCCTCACTGCTATGGGGGCAAGAAGTATTCCAGAAAGGAATCATGATCTCTGATGCTGTACTGAAATCTGTTCTTCCGTTTCCTGAAAATCTGAAAAATAAATTTCTGGTTTTTTATCTTATTCTGAGGTGAGTCAAGGAAAGTGCTGGCATTTTTTTCTCTGTTGTGTATCCCTCACTTTGCACACTGATATCTGTAATGTATAAATTGTTCTTCCCTAGAACCTCAGATGAATGATTATCCCATCCTGCCCCATATTCTCTTTCTTCTCCCACCCCCATTGTAAGCATCTTAGAAGTTGAATGGTGCACTATTGCTAACCCAACTTCACTCTTTAAAATGAAATGATATTATGGGCAAATATGAGGAAAGTAAACAATCTCAGAAGAATGCATATTATATATAGCAGGTACTAGGGCTGGAATAATCCCTCTATGAACTTAGGATACAATTTCACAATGCATTAGAGATCATAATATGTTTTTTTTTATTTAGTAATTTAAATGTTATTTATTTTTGTTACGATACCATTGATGTATTCTGATAGTTTTATTGTGTTAACTCTTCTCTTTCAAACAAGCTTATATCTACTATATATACAAGCCAGCAGTCAATTGGAAGCTGTGCTACAGGACCTGGAAAAGATTAAAGTCAACTCTGAGGTAACTTAAAATAGAAATGAATACAAATATCTGCATAACCAAAAGTCCAATATATTGGTACTGTTTTAACTTATATCCTGTCAGGTTATGGAGATTGGCAGTCATCCAGATCATGGTTGTCCGAAAAATGCTTTTTCATTCCATGCTCCACCATTCAGTCAGAACTGAAGAAACTTCTTGAATGAGAAGCAAAACTTCTTCAAGCAAAAACAAAGAAAGTCCAGTTGCCTTTTGAAAAAGCACCTTTGGATTATTTCCTGACAACATTTGAGTGTATCTGGCATGATTTAAGAAGAAACTGGACAGCCATTTGTCCAAAATGATATAGGGTTTCCTGCCTGAGCAGGGGGTTGGACTAGATGACCTCCAAGGTCCCTTCCAACTTTATCATTCTTATTATTATTATTACGACCGATTTTAGTTTTTTCACCTTTCTATTTTATATTCTCTGAGGACATTTTAAACTTGTCCTACATATATTGTTTGGAAAAATTAGGTTTTACTGTTAATTTTAAGAGTTTCCAAATCATCCTTTTTAAATGCTTAATGTTCTTAAGATGCAGAGCAATTTTAAAATGATTTTTAATTTCATATTTTGGGGAAAAACATATTCTTAAACTGCTGATTACATCACAATTTTCCTTTTTTAGATTGATGCCTATTTATATACTGCAGATTTAAATTATCCCGTGAGTATATTTTTCAGAAATCTGAATAATTCTTAAAATATGTTGCAGTTTAAAATCTGTAATTCACCAACCTTTTACTATAGCTAAACGGAGTTCTAGATATAATAGTGTTTATTTTATTTTATTTCACTGTTTATGGACTACAGCAGCTTTATAGGAGATATTCTTTGAAAACGTTCTGAAACTTGGTCTACAATGTGAGAATCAGATTGTTAACTGGAATTTTCTTTCAAGAGCTTGCTGCTTACTTGTTGAAACCACTCTCTCTTGATTTGTTTATGGTCCTAGTTTTTCTGTGTACATCTGCCAGCCTGTTTACATTATTTTCATAAGCAGTTCAGAGAAATGTCTGATTGGAAGTAAAAAATAAAATTTCAGCAACTGCATCCAAGCTTTAGAACTCCCACATAGGGGAACTTACAAGCTACCCAAATACTATGGTAGCATATTTATCAGATTGTAATTAATTAAAATTAATTAGATGGCAGAAAATCATGACATTTTATATTTTATTTAAATCATATATAATTGTAGAATAAAATGTTCACACTGAATTGATTTTAATAAATGTTTATAGTTAAAGTCCGTTCCATGTAATTGTACATTGTAACTTACAGAGGATTTCAAAGATACCAAGTGAAAAACAGAACTTTGATCTCTGCACCATTATAATCAATACATATACATATACGCACACAACACACACATTTCTACTAAGCATAATTTCTCCACTTCTATATGCAAGAAGAGAGACTAATAAAAAATGAATGCAAAATGTAATGTCTGAATGAGGCCAGAAACATTTATTCATACAAACCTATTGATTTTTCTTTTTCTCTTGTTTTTCCTAGAGTCATTGTAATCTATCAGTGATAAAATGCTTTCAGCTTGAGATGGAAGTAGTTTTGTATGAATCTAAATTTGAGGATCGAAATTTTTGTAATAGTGTGTATCGTATAGTCAGAATTGTTAAATATTTTCTATCCTTTGAAACGGTAAGTCCAACCTGGGCTAAACTACACATTGCACTGAATTAGTGTACCAGGAATTTGTAAAACCTCCTATTCGTTTACAAAATTATTCAAATCATTTGTCAGATATGTCAGTAAAAGGTACCCTCCCCCCACAAACACACATATATGGGCTGCTTATAGGGCTCTTGTAATAAAATATACATAGCAGGTTGAATTGACCTTGAGTGGCAAAAGGGTGGAATCAGATGGAAACATTGCCTAATAAAACATTTTTTTACAAAATTCACTGACCATATCACAGAGATGCCGGCCCAGTAGGAAGAAGAAATAATGTCACCCAGATGGGCTAACCAAACCATTCCAATGTCATGCTGTAATGTACACCTTTCCCTTTGTCTTGTCTCTGTAATGTAGTAGGTCAACGTGTATATGCTCTGGCTCTGCTTTTTTGCAGGTTGCTCAGCAAGCAGCTAATGCTTTGCTGGGAGCTCCATGTACACACATTTTCGTTGTTTACATAAGTAATAATATTATGTTGTAGACAAACCTACCATAACTTAGATTCTTCAGAAGGCATGTATGATTGCCACACATCAAGAAATAAAGTTATGATCTTTCTGCCATTTCCAAGGAAGCTGAGAATGCCCTCTATAAGATTGGCCCTTTTCTTGCTAACAATAAAGTCCACAGAGAGCCTTTACTTTAATTCATAAGAGCAGGCTGTTATTCCACCAAATGATGATTTTCCTTTGGTGTACTTAATATTATTACCTCTTTCTCAGGTTGGGATGGATGAAGAAAAATAGAGTTAGGAAAGTTTTACTATAACAACCTAGTGCAGTGATGGTGAACCTTTTAGAGACCGAGTGCCCAAAAACTGGCCCTGCCCCCGCTCCACCCCCCCTGCCTGCCCCTGCTCTGCCTCCCCATCCCCCGCCCCGCCTGCCGCAGATCACCCAGGCAGCCCAGCAGCGCTATGGCGGTCATGCCCTCTGCCTGTGCCCTGCAGCATCAACTGCATGATGGGGTGTGAGGGCAGAGTCTTGTCTACGCTGCCTGGCTGCCATGTCCTTGGCTGCGCTACTCCGTGTGGGCCACGCTCGAAGGCGACTCTCCTTCAGCGGGGCTGCTGTAGAGGAGGGGGTTGCGGGGGGAGGCAAAGCTATGGCAACGGCACATGTGCCCACAGAGAGGGCTCTGAGTACCGCCTTTGGCACCCGTGCCATAGGTTCGCCACCACTGACCTAGTGTAACAAACCAGAGAAAATTGTCTTGGTTCAAAAACTGAAAAATATAACTTCTTCAAGAATTTGCATATCCTAGTCTGATACACATATTCCAAACTTTGGGTACATTACATGGAATGAGTCCAGTTTGGATGAACATATTCTGCTTCAAACAAAGTACATTAAATACTACAGTATTATCTATATTTAATAGCCTAAGCCAGAGGGTTCTAGTCAGTTAATTCTGAGGTTTCTGCAAAGATGGAAGGTGTGACATTTTTCTTCTCATTCTTGATCCCCAGCTTCAGCTCTTGTTTTTAAAAAGCAAACCATTTTTCTCTTCAGCATCAGGAGGAGGTTTGAGATAATCCTCCTGCCTTTTGCTTTAAGCTGAAGATCATACTTGATAAAAGATGTTGATTAAAACTGTCTGCCTTCTGTCTGGAAGCTGATAGTTAGAGCACTGTGAAAGAGTGGCTTCACAACACACCGATACATGTCAAATTCTCTGCTTCCTCTCCTCTCTGTGATACACATGCAACACAGCAGATTGTCCATGGAGAAAGACAACAAATGTTTTTTCAAAGAATAGTATGGGGGCAGCACAGTTTTCCCTTTGTAAAGTTGAGATATTTGATAGATTGAACAGCACTGAAGTCAATTGTGAGTTAAATATCCTGTCTACACAATCCTCTCCTAACATTCCTGTATTACTAAACATACTAACTAAAGGGTCTTCAGACCATATTTAGTTCATGGACAATGTTCAACTTTGTCTTAAGAGGATCTCAGGAATGAATTAAATTGATAATAGGAGTAAATTGCAGAAGAATGTTTAAAGGGATTTAAGAACCTGGGCAACATAAACATTTAGCTTTAAATTCTTTGTAGCTTGCAAGTTGCTACAGGATGAAAATAGCAACTAAAAAAATAAATATATAAACTAGTAGCTGTAAAATGGACTGTTTGTTTATTGCAGTAGTATGAAATAGAAAAATGTAGTCACTGAACTTTGCTAACATGGAATTTCATTCTTCTGGTGTTCCTTTGGAGCCATCTACTCACATAGTTTTGGATCTCATACTGCAGATTTAAGAAAGTAATTTTTTTCACTCTAACTGCAATAGAAATCTTAGGAACTTTTGTCATATATATGTGTGTGTGTGTGTCTTTCTTTCAGCATTTTGTTTATTGTACTTTTCCTGATCTTTTATTTTTGAAGAATACAGATACATACACCTGCCAACGATGTGAAACATATAAAGAAAAAAAATATTCAGAATTTATAGAAAACTTCAAGTTTGTCATACAGCGGATCAACAGAGAAGAGAAGAAAAAATGAAAATTGTGTACTGAGATACTTCATTGAAGCTGGAAGAAATAATGTATTTTCTTCTTGGAAAGATAATTTCTCAGTGGTCAACCTAATCCCATCTCTCTCTTTTTTTCCTCTTCCCTTCTGGGAGTTTGAAGTAGAGGTAGTCCTCATTTAGTGACCATTTGCAGTTACAATTATGATGAAAAAGTAACTTTTCAACCAATCCTTGCATTTGTACAGCAAAGGAAATTTAAGTAAAATCATAGGCACAGTTGAGTTTCCACTTAGCAACTACTTTCCTTAATGACAGTTGTGGGTCCCAATTGGGATAGTTAAACAAATACTACCTGTAACTAAAGTAGCTGAACCACACCTATGCACCAATTATAAAAGGAGTTTGCCTTCTGCTTCAAGAGAGGAGATCACATTTATATACTGAAAAAGAAAAAGAGAATCCAAAGAGGAGGAAATTGGGGAACATCCGGACTGAATTGGCTTTGGACAGTGACTGAAAATGTGAAAAAGATGGGTGCAGATTCAGAAACACACAACTGAAAGATGAATGTATCTGCTTCTTCATGAAATCCAGAAGTGCTGAATAGCATAGCAGCCAAAGAGAGAGCTGAGTAAACCTGGTAATTTACAAAGTTGTAGGCAATTCAAACTTCTTGTACAAGAAAGGGACGAAAAGTGGAAAAGGAGTTTACAGAAATTATGAGAAGATAAACATAGTGGTAAGATGTAGAAATAAGTAGGTATCATCATTTAATTTTAAATCCTTTCCTTGGTTTTTTTTTTAGTAACCCTTCAGTACAAATCTGTCACATGGGTAAGAGGATCTGGATAGAAATGTAGAGGTGGAATTGCTTTGTCATCACATATCATTTGATGTTACACTTTAGGATATTACTGATATTGCATGCACATATGTCAGTGTTAAGAGGTACAAATGCCAAATCTAAGAGGAATTTTTCTTAATTATTTTTCTCAAAGATCTCTATATATAAAAGCTTAAAACAATCTTATCATCCTTAATTCTGGATAGAATTACTGCATAATTTGGGGGTGCTTCTAGACTTGCAACGTCTGTTTGAAGAGCAGGTGGCAGTTATGATAGGGTCTTTGTGCAGTTGCCCCCTTTCCTGGATCATAAGGCCCTGCATGTAATCACTCATGCCTTGGTCATCTCCCAGTTGGATTACTGCAATATTCTCTATGTGGGGCTACCCTTGAAAAGTATTCAGATGCTACAACTGGTATAGAATGCAGTGGTGCAGAGAGTTTTGGAGGTACCTCAGATGGTACATGTGACGCTGCTATGTGAGCTGCACTGGCTGCCAGTTTGCTTCCATGTCCAATTCAAGTTGTGGTTATCACCTTTAAAGCCCTTTATGGCATGGGCCCAGGGCATATGAAGACCATCTCACCCCAATGAGACTAGCCCACTCCACTCACTCCAGTGGGAAAGGGCTATTTTGGATTCTATTAGCCAAAGAATTTAAACTGCTGGGGTCCAGGAGAAGAGCTCTGTAAAAACAAGATTCTGGAGATGTAAAACAATGACAAACTTGAAATTCTGGAGAGTAAGAGAGCAATTGTTGACAGAGAATTAGAATTAGAAAGAGAACTAGATAATATGGCTCTATTGGCTTTGCCATTGAGAGAGGGAAAATGACATTTACAGTATTCCCAGGGAATTCTGATGAATTTTTTTTTAAAAAAAGTTGCTAAAGTTTTAGAAAATGTTTTGGATTGGGATGAGGAGGTATAAATTGGTAGAAATTGATAAGGTTTATAGAATAAATACAAGATTTGTGAGAATAAGAAATGTTCTGAGGGATGTTTTGGGGCCCTTTGTCAAAAAGAAGACAAGGAATCAAAGTTTGCAGCAGCATTTTAATACAAGATCGAAGATAATACAGCTATAATTGTTCTCAAAGACATTCCTGTAAGAATCTTCGGTAAAAGAAATGAGTATTCTTTTTTAGCCTGAGAGATTAAAGCAAAAAAAAAAAAAGATTTCATTTCAATGGGACAAATTGATAGTGTGATTTTTACTTTCAACCAATGTATTTAAAATGTGGTCATTTATAGTCTTTATCTGGGTCTTTATCACATAGTAATAGACTGATTTTGCATGAATAAAATGTAATTCGCTGTTTAAAAATTAGTTATATCAATTTATTGAAGCTTATTTGGATTTTCTTTGGGTGGTTTTTCTATTTTTTCTTTCTTCTACATGTTTTCTAGAAATGTTTTTCTTATAATAGTAGTTTGTGTAATTTAGCAATAAAAAATGAAAATTACCAATAAAACAGCCTAAGGTGTGGGTGTCTTCCTGTTGCTTTGGATTATGGAAAACCTAATATAAAAATTGCCCTTTCTGTATTTGGGATACAGAAGAATTATATGAAAACCTACATATGTGATATTGTATTTATCAAACAACATTGATAAAAAGAAATAAGTCAACCTATCCCTGGATCAAACCCCAAAGTATGATTTTCATCATACTTCCAAAAAAATTTGGGAAAATATTAATTCTTCAGTGGGTATATGAAGGCAAGAAAATGAAATTAAAAATCCTGTAACAAAAATAATATACTGTAATATACAAATGCTACTATTTGTCTTTAGCATATCTTCAATATCTTACTTTGCTTTATTTCAAAATGTTAACTTTACCATTTAATACAAATACATTTATAGAGCTGCACAAAAGTGTTCAACTAACTTTATTCGATCCAAAACAGTATTTCAAAATTTCATCTTCAATTTTTCACTTATGAATTATTTTTACAGACTGGAAAGAAAGTTGTAGCCGCAGTTAAGAGGAAGAAAATAACTCCCATTAGTCTCCAAAATACAACTCTTCTCTTCTGGGACTGCTCACAGGAATGAACTTGAGGACTTGGGCACACAGATGTTGCCTGAGCAAGAAACCAAAGAGGGGACCTTTAGTGGCTGAGTCAGGCATGGATGAAATTAAGCATGGAGGGAGAGAGTCTGATGAAGGAAAAAACATGTTTGGTGGTGAGAAGCCACTGGGGAATGTACTGTAGCTTAAGAGGAGAGAATGAAATGATGAAGAGTTTACTATGTTAGGATTGGGAGGGTATTGGGAAAGAAGGAGTCAAGTTTGCTGGATGAAGAAATTCGCTTCTTGAACTTGCTTGGACTTCTGCCTCGATTGCTTCTGTTTTCTATCATGTTTGATACTTACCTGGAAACTTGACGTCCAATATTTGTGAGACCTATTAGTCTCCTGTCTCCATTATTAATATATGTGTATTCTCACCACCATTGGAGCATCCACCACTGCTGCTTATTTTTATCGTAAGAGTATGTATGTAGAGGAGGGAAGAGTTATTTGGTGAGTATTGTACAAAATTGTACTCTGGGGTGGACTAGAGTGAAGATTTGGCCATGGAATTGGAAGTTTATAAATACGTACATTCAGGGAGAGAGTTGGCTGAATGGGAAAACTTGGGGACGAGGAGAAATTGGAGTGACGGGAGATGTAGCCTATTCTAGGACTCAGAACGTTAGGCAGTTCCTTCCTCAATCAGTTGACCATAAAGCTAAAGTAGGTAGCCTAGTAATTTTTAATGATCTCTCTCCTTTTGCTAGATCAGTTACTTATAACATACACTTCCTAGATTCACCTTCTCCCAATTTATTAATTTTAATACAATATATTATTTCAATTAATTGGACACAAACATTTGTGGAAATTTGTAAGGAAAATTGACTTGCAGGTTGTTCAGGTGGTCTTAAATTCCTTGAAATAACTATTCCCAGGAAAATATTTATTAGCACAATTAAACATTTTTATTATATTACATGGATAAATATTGATAAATAGATGGCTGAAAATTCCTCTGAAGTTATTGGTAAGAATAAGCATGATCAAAATAATGACAATGTAGTGATTTATATTTTAAGAGCTACTACAGTATATACTAATGCATTCAACCTGTTTTAAACTGATGAACTGTAGACATTTCTTTTGAATGGACAAACTTTCAAGTTTTCATTGCACAAATGTAGGTTTTCTTTTGACAATGGAGAGTTTCTATTTTGACACAAGTTTTAAGTAAAATGAGAATAACTTTGATTATAAATTATTGTGGCTACAACTAAAAAGCAGTTATCCGATTCCGTTGAAAACTTGACAAGTCCTTCATTCTAATTTTACCTGTGTTTAGTATTTATTTATTTTCCCTTGCTCTAAAGACAGCAAAATACATTTGCAAAACTTTGAGATTATGATTTTAAATTAGAACATGATTACAAAAAGCTGAAAATTTGGGATAATTCGAATTTCAAGAGGGTCACTTTCTTGTCACTTTCTCATTGAAGTTTCTTTTAAAGTTTTGAGAAATGACCAAAACAAAAACAAAAAAATCCTCCCAGATCAGTGAAAATTCCCAGTGTCAATATATACAATATATAAAGGAGTATACACTGTGTGTGTATGTGTGTTATGTTTTGTTGTTTTAAAAAATAAAAAAAAACATTTTTTGATCTCTCTTTGGAACTGTTGTGTTGGCAGTATCTGAAATTCCTAAATTATTGAGTGTATAGAATTAGATCTTAATGGAATTTAAAGTTACAGCTGAGCTATATAAACATTTGAAAATGAAAAAGCATTAGTTAAACATTGATAATTTACACAAAGTTTTGGAACATCCTATTTTATTAAATCTGTGGTATGGTTATCTAAAGAATGTGACATGTATCTTGCATTAAAATATATATTTATTGGAAATGCCAACGGATATTTTTAAAAAGTTAGCTGTTAGATTTTTTTAAATTGAATAAATTGTAATAGAGATTATTTGGATTTCCTCTTTGGTTACTCAATGTTACTTAATATTTCTTTTTTATTAATATTCTCTCTGATTAATAAAAAGAATATTAATGTTCTCAAAAACAAAAGTATTAGAAATATAAATTTAATAAATTGGGTATTGAAAATTTAAAATCTGTTATTTGTGACAAAAGTTGAATATATGGGCTTTGTAGCAAAAAAGATAATTTATGGTTGGAAAGAAACTACGATCCGAGACATAAAAAGGTAAAAAAAAAGTCTGTATAGAGGAGCAACAATTTCAAAACAAAACAAAACCAAAAAACCTCCCTACCATCTGAGATTAACTTGAACGTAATTATGTCCCCAGACATCCTTAGGTGGCCAATTATATCAAAAGTAGATCATCCATCACTTCATAGTCTTTATAATGGGCTGGTGCCTAATCCACTGAAACAGCTCTACTCAATCAGTATCACCCATGAGCATTTGGAGTTACCCATCCATCATCTGTCCAACCACCTTGACAGAGAAAGGCAAATTAGAAAACTTTTATGTCTTTTAAATTGGGGAGGGGGGTGTCCTTTTTTTTACAAGTTGAAAAAACAAAACAGTATTACCATAGAGACAATAATAAAACATAAGACTTCCATCAATAGATCAATCCCAGCAATTACAGCCAAAAGGGAGCTGATCTCATGGGCAGACAATAATTCCAAGCATCTTGTCCATATTCTTAAGCAAGGAGCAAATAAGTGATTCAATAACATTGGGCAAACAAGTGTACTGGCCATCTATTATCATAATTAATGGTATTATCAATATGCTAACTGTTATGAGAGATTTTGTCTATAAAAAAGTTTGAAAAGCTATTGCAGTTTGCTGGATCAGCTGTGTTTCATGGGGATAGTTCCTTTGGGCATTATAGTAGGAAAAAAACCCCATCTTTTTCTCTACTTTCAAAGCCACTACATACATACAGTATATTTTAATGGATTCTAGGCATTGCCCATAATAAGCTGAGTGATTTAAATTCCACAGTCTAACCTAGTTAATAAATACGTTTCAAAAATGTAATTAGTACATATCAAAAGCTTTTTCTACATCTAAAGAAGTGGCCACAGCTGAATACATTCTCTCAGATATAATGTATATCTACTAATAGTGAATCTGTATGGATGAGGATGAATTAGAAAAGGAAATACATTCAGTAATATCTGTGATAATGTTGCAATCAAAATTTTAGCATTTACATTTAACAAGGATATAAAACTAGTACAATATGTAAAACCCAGTTTCAATCAATATTACTATAATGTAGACTCATGATAAAAATATGCATTTCATATAAATCTCATTATACAGTAGCCAACAATTTAAGATCAAACATTAC